ACTAGAGAGGCCTAAAAATTTTGATTGAAAAAGTAATGATAGATAACAAAAACTAAATTGAACAAATATAGAAAATAAAGTATTGATTTTATTTGTTTTAAAAAAAATCGAAGAGGCCCTTATGACTTCATTAATGTAACAGAAAGAATTCTCAAAAAAAAAAAAGAAAAAAAAGAAACTAAGCAGAGTTTCCTGACACCTTAAATGAAATTTCAGCAAATGGAGCATATTTACTTGCCAACCAATGTGATACAATGATTTTTCAATATTTTCATTTTTTTGAATCATTGCATAATATGCAATCACACTAATATTCAACATAATTAATTAGTAGAAATAATTTACATTCTTTTATTGTTTTGTTTTTTTGTTGAACAATTTATGATATTTAATGACATTAAAAAAATAATATATATTATAATATAGCATAGATAATCAAGATTTTCCTCAATGATTTCTTCAGCCGGAAAATGGATTGCTTTCACTCCCCAATTGCATGCATTTTCAGCACTGTTCTATCGTGGTTCCATCATAACCAATAAACCTCTCGAGCACAAACCTATTTCTCAGAAGATCACTCATCTTCTTGCAACAAGGAGCATGTGAATAATTAAAATATAGATATCAAGAGTCTATGACACTTCAGATTCCAACAAAACTTTATCAGAAATCTCATTACATCTATACTTCTCTACAACTGCATAGATCCAGTTAAGAGTAAAAAGTTCCCAGCACACATCAAGAATACTACTGATGATTTTTTATAGAGGTAAGAAAGTTCAGGCTGCCCTCTCTTGTTGACAAAGCATCAAGTTTAAGTTTCACTGTTTCAATTTATATTATTGTAAGTCCAGCATTATAACAGACTTGGCTAACTTCTACTGATGAGGAACCTAGCCACCGCCTATCAAATAGCCCTGATAATGCAAGTTCAAGCACCTAAGGAACTGCATCATGCGGTTTTTCTCACAATATTTAAACTCCTTCCCAACTTGTATTGTCACAATAAAATCTTCCCAAATATTAAACCAAAATACCCTAACACTAACTTTCTCAATACTTGTATATCTGACTTCTAATTCTGAAACAATTTCATGTTCTTCCTTGGAGAAGTTGATCTCTCGCAGCCACAAATTTCATGCAATCTTACTACATCATCATAGGAGATATCTTTTCAAATTATTCTTTTGACAAGAAAATGAACAAACAAGAAAGCAAGCAAGGTCAAATCAAAGGAGCATTCAGTGACAGAAAAAACTAGCATTTACGAAACTAATAGTAAGAAACAAAATATTGCCTCATGGAATGGAAAATCAATATACATTTATACAATAGTCAAGCGAGGAGAATTAGCAAGAGAAGGTGATGAAATACGTACTGTGTAACGAGAAGTACATCAATAGTGGAAGGGTCAATCTCATCGAAGTAGGGCAAAGCAGCCATACCCGAATAAGCCGGATGAATTCCACAATCAAACTAACATTGGCATAATTCGACAACAAAAACATAAATTAATAAACAAAATACATTCACTGAATTTGATCCAGCGTAAACAAGAATTACCAATAGTAAATCAGTATAAAATGGCATAATTGAAAAACAACAAAATGCATGGGGGGAAGCAATACCAGTACAGTCTTGCCTTTAAATGACATGTAAACACAGGATCGACCCACTTCATTTCCAGCACCTAAAGGGGTTAGAGTTAGCTGATCCCCTCCTTCTCTTGTTACCGGTGCATCCCTTCTTTTTAGTGACTGCGATTGCCCTGTTGATGCCATTCTTGTGCTCTTCAGCTGCCCAAAAACCAAACTGTATTTATAGACGTCTATGTAGAAAAACTCCAATACAGATAAACCCGCTCAGCTTCTGATTTGTAATGATTATATAAAATAAATACAACTTACAAAAGTTGACGTAAAGCTTATAATGTTTATAGCGATTATGCTTCAAGGTCGAACTTTTTTAAATTATAAGGTGGAAATGGGAGTTCCGCTGCATCATAGACATCGTTTCAAGGGTTGAAGATTTAGTTGCGTTCTTTGCCAAAAAAGTGATTTTTACATTTTTATGTATTTATTTATTATAAAAAAAAGTTAAATGGATAGAAAATATTTTTTTAGTAAAAAAATTTAGCTTGATTTATTGAAAAATATTTTTTTTTTATTTTAGATAAAAATATTTTTTAGAAATTATGAAAAAAATTAAAAAAATTATATTATTTGTTAATTATAACAAATCTGATCCTCAAAATTTTAATTTATATATGTTTTGTTTGATTTTTTTAATTTTATCTTTTAAAATTTTATTTTTATACTAACTTTAATATTTATTTTTATAATTGTTATTTGCTTTTCTTATTATTTTTTTAATGAAATTTTTTACTTATCAAATTTAATCTCCATTCTTTTGATTGTTACTTATTTTATTTAAAATAATTTATAAAATTATAATTATAATTATTATTTTAACTTTATCATTTTTTTATTTTTTAAATTTGATCTCAATTATTTTATTTATTATTTATTTTATTTGAGATTATTTATAGAATTAAATTTTTTTGATTTCATTCTCATTCAACTTTTTAATTTGTAAAATTTATTTTTCATTATTTTAATAAACTTAGAAAAAAAAATATTAATAAATTATTTTTCCACTTATTTTTCATAATATAACCAAATACTATAAAATATTTTCCAACTTACTTTATATGGAATTACCAAACATAAAAAAATAATTTATTTTTTAAAAAAATATTTTAAAAAAAAATATTTTTCAAACAACAAATAATACCTTCAAGTAATGGATCAAATGAAAATACACAAATCATGATTAGCATGGCACATGTTCCAGTCCCAAGTAGTCACATGACTCGAAGCTCGCATATGTGTTCTTCAATTCACTTTTTGAGTGATGCATGGTGTTTGACAGCTGTGATCCCAAGGTGAACTGAATTTGTGTTGTCGGAATGCTTCCTCAAATGCTCTTCCATTTATATTGGCACTTTGATGGACATGAACATCACAGATAAATCTCAAGATTGACTAGCATTTCCCTTTTGCTAACTTGAGATTGTCTAGTCACGTGCTCGATTAGAACCATTGATTTTTCACTGACTTGACAAACAAAACAGAAGATTGTCTTGTTAGGGGTTTGATGACTTGTGTGCTTTCTGAGGTAAGCTGGTTGGTTCAAACAGACAAAGATGGCTTCAAAAACCAACTCGGGCCTTGAAAGCAACCCACGCCCCTTCTTTCCAAGGTTTCACCACTTAATTTATGCGTGTTTGGCAACGTGATTAGCCATGTTTATTTTAAAATTTTAAGAATATTTTTTTCATATTTTTAAATTATTTTGTTGTGTTTAATGTTAAAAATAAATATCTAACAATAAAAAATAATTTCAAAAATATTACTTAATAGCAAATGAACTTGTATGCTCTTATCATTGATGCTTGAAGTAATAGTACATTGAACCCACCCTTCTCATGTACAGTTCCGGCGACCCTTTTTCGGAGTCTTGCAAAATCTAATTTACCACATCTAGGGAAAAAAAGGGCAAAGCTACTGATCCAAAAATTAAAAATTAAAAATAAAAAGAACAAATCAAGGATTACGCATCTTGTCACACAACTTACAGCTGAAGTTAACCTAAAACAGCGGTTTGTTTGGTTTCTATGGAAAAAAAGGGACAATTCTGTACTAAACACATTAGTGATTCAGTTAATCTGCCTGTAAATGCTTTGTGCGTTATACTAGCATGTAAGATTCGGAAAAAGAAGAGTATTCTTTAATTTCTCCCAAATAAACCAAGAGAAAGAGCAGCAGCAGCAGCAAGCAAGGAGAGATAACATACCTATATTAGTATTGTTATAAGACAAGAATTTCTGTAATACCGTTGATATCAAAACCTGAAAATCAAGTTATAAAATTATAACATGATAAAATAAATTGAAATATGTAAAAAGAAAAAATAGTATTTTACCATCAAAGTAATTTTTGAACTAATTATCATCAATTACTAAATGTAACTTTCCCCTAAATTCTACAAAATAAAATTAGACATGTTAGATGATTGCAAACAATTTAATTAATAAATTACAAAATAAAAGGTGCAAGTTTCTTAAAAAAAATTACCTGACTCAAGATTTTCATAGGTTTCAAGATCATTTATCAAGCTTCTAATATCAGTAGGAATTGATCTATGATGCAACCAATTTTGACAACAAATGAGTGCTTGAACAGTTGCTGGAGATAGAGAACTTCGAAATTGATCAAGTACACGACCACCTGTACTAAATGCTGATTCAGAAGCCACTATGGATATAGGAATAGCCAGAACATGTTGTGCGACCTTTGAAAGTATCTTATATTTTGAAGCATTACTTTTCCACCAACCCAAAATATCTAACTTATCATCATTAGGATCCTCACAACCATCAATCAAATACCTCTCAACCTCTTTTTTATTTTCCACACTATCCACCTCCTGCAAATGTCTTTTGAATCAAGCCAAAGTGTTAACATCCACATCCACATCCACATCCACATCATCAATAGCACTAACATTCTGTTTATGCTTATTATTATCCACCACTTCATGAATTTTCAAATAAAACTCATACAAGCTCGTCAAAGTATCTTTCACCTTATTTGTTAGCAATTGTGCTTTGTCATAATCATACAAATCACCAAAACAAAAATTCACATATTTCAACTTCAAACGTGGATCTAAGACATTAGCCATATATAACAAAATTTTTTGATTTACTTCACAACCCCAATACTTCTCAAACTTTAACATCATATTCATCGTCATTCCACTTAAAATACTATCTTTATTTTTACACAATTGCAACAAATTTGTATGCATATAAATCAATTCATTGAAGAAAGAATTTGATGTGACATGTAATGAACCAGAAAATCTCAATGTAACTATATAAAAGATCTTTAAGAACTTAACCAAAGTTCTTGCATTTTCCCAATCCTCCAAACCAGGTGATCCCATGTTTTTTTTATTCCCCTTTGAATCAACCTCCAAAAAGTAACTCATATACCTAGGTTCCTTTTCACCTAACCTCAGAAACACCTTTTCAAACTTTTTAGCAGCTTCTAGCATAAGATAAGTTGAATTCCATCGAGTTGCAACATCTAAACACAATGATTTCTTACACTCTATATGCAACTTTTCAGCACACTTCTTAAATGCAAGATGCCTCGACGGTGAAGATCTCACAAATCTAATTACATTTCGAATCTTAACTACTGAAATATTAATCTCTTTCAAGCCATCACATACAATGAGGTTTACAATGTGTGCACAACATCTAACATACAAGTGCTCATTTGACAATATATTAGTTGGCCAATCTTTCATCACATTCTTTAAATATGAAATGGTCACATTATTAGAGCTTGCATTGTCTAATATAATAGTCAATAGTTTATCAATCCCCCACTCTAACAAACAATTCTCAATAACTTGGCCAATTGTCTCACCCATATGATTGGAAACTTGACAA